TTTTTTAATCTACTAAATTTTTTTTTCCATAATGCATTCGTAAGTGAATTAATAAAATTTCGAGGGATCTGTAAAAGATCCATGCCGTTCAAATTGTTTCAAGTCACTCGTTAGGGGACTTTCCATGGGGACCTTGACCAAAGTACCCATTCTGTATGCATTCGTTTCATGGTTGACAGGATTTTCGGGTGTTGTCTTCGAACTGGAATGGATTAGTTCCATCAAACGAAAAACCAGACAAAATTCGATCATCTGTGAGTTTCATTGGCGATGCATTCGATCAAATGTTTCCACATTTTTATCAGCAATGGCGAGGAAAAAATCGATTTGCAAAATTTAAAGTCTAGAATTTTGATTCACGTTTGATCGACACCATGAATTGCGTATGAACACTAATTTCCCTATATACTGGAATGGTCAATATTTCTCGTCATCCAATCTATACCAGCTTAAATATGTATTGTCTATTTTTTTATTATCTGCGATAAGATGTTTGACTGTCTAAGGCTCTATAAATTAATGTACTTTGAGTTTTGACGAAAAAATCAGCGACAGTTAAGTTACAATTAACAAGCAAGTGCTTTTTAAAATTTGGTTTTCATATGCTAATTGAATAGTTTGCTAAATGAAGTGCTTTTTTGAACGCTAATTTAAAAAAGCACTTGCTTGTTGTAACTTAACTGTCGCTGATTTTTTCTTATTCAATAAACAGTAATTCTTATTCAAGATATTTAAATATTTTTGGAGAGGAACGCTAATCTTTCATCAACCCGAATATACTGTAGTTGGTATTCTTTTGTAGGAACTCGCTGATGATTTTATGTGGATTTCCTGAGAGTATAAAAAAGAACTGTACTCACCATACGTACGAGAAATTTGCGCTGGAAGTTTGCTCTAAAGCGATGCCATCACTTTCAGCCAGAATCTGAAAATCAGTCCTTTCTAGGGATTCAGTTACTCTGAAAGCAAAATAATCGCGCTGCAATACACCGAGAACATCTGCTCCTTGTTGTCCGAACGGAAGGACGAATGCTTCCCTTAAATCTGCGACCAAAATGGCACCGAAAACCAAATCCTGCCGAAAATGAAAATTAATGAAATGAATAATCATGTAATTGTTTGCAGGCTTCCAAGTTATGAAGGCGATTGGCAGAGAATTACGCGAAATAAATCTGCGACCAAAATGGCACCGAAAACCAAATCCTGCCGAAAATGAAAATTAATGAAATGAATAATCATGTAATTGTTTGCAGGCTTCCAAGTTATGAAGGCGATTGGCAGAGAATTACGCGAAATATATTGCCGAAAGACGATTTTCGAAAAGTTTGATGAAGTTTCCCTGATGAAAGCGATGATGAAGTCGATGAATAAATCGTGTTTTATCATATTTTCTTGAGGCTACGAAATCATTTTTTTGCTTGTGTAAAAAAAATCAATCGTGAAGCGATTGGCATTTCAGTATGAAAGAGAATCAACTTTGTATTTTCATCGAACAAGTTTTAACCATTTTTCAATCCCTTTTGCAAATCAGTTTTTCGTTACCAGCGTTAATAAAAAAAACTTAAAAAAACGGTTCAAACGTTTGTTTCAATACCTATGAATTTATTTTTTTGTGAGCGGAAAAATTGTATGTACTCGGAAAGGAGAACAAAAATCTAACCAAAATTAAGAACCAAACCTTATATAGTGCATTTCTAATAGAGATTATTTTCTTGTCGTTCCCAAAAAATGATTTTCACGTACTGATTCTTTATAAGTCGTAGAAGTTGACCAGACTTCTCCATTTGGGCCCAAATTTGGGTCCCCGAAAGCTGCTCGCAACATTTGCGCATTCACTGCTGATGCAGGACGATCGGGTTTCAGCAGTTTTCCGTCAGACCGACAAC